AGTCCTCGTTGAGTTTCTTGAACAGCTCTAAGTAGATCGTGTTTCTTGTGTTCTAAGTCAAAGGTTGTATCTCCAGAAGCTACAGCTACTCGACACGAGAAATTCTTTTGGCGATTGGTCATGATATCATCCAGGTTTAAGCCAAATGGTTTGATTCTAAAGAGACGAGACATTGAAATCGCTGGGCAAGAGAATGTAGCAGACGCAATTCGATCCATTTTCTTCAACAGAAAGAATCAAAGATGCGTCAAGTGAACAGTCACCACTCAAAACTTGCAATAGATAGGATAGCTTATTAAAGATAACAAAAAAACAAAATTTTTTTAACAGAGTTGTCCCACAAAAATCAGATTTTGGTTTCTACAAAGATTTGCATTTTTCAGAATAATAATGCCTTGATGTAAAAAATGCAAAAAGAAAATTCAGGCGATACCTTCAAAGCTTCGAAGTGATTCGACAATGGTGAGAACGAAGAAGCGAACAGTGTTTATAATTTCTCCATTTTTATACTGTATAAAAGATAAAATGTAATTACTTCAGTTCGAGTTACGTGGCCGAATTTTGACCTGACACTGAGCCGGTTCGAGTTGAACCGAGCCCGGATGGGTCGTCGTTTTGATCAATGAAAGCTGTAAACGATTCCGCCAGAAATAAGAACTGCTAAATCCGATTTACCAAAAGTATCAAATCTATTACAAATGATAATAAACCATCAAAATAGCACTGTACAACAAAAGCAAGGCCATTTATATATCTCTCTCTTCTCATTATCACCAAAACATTTTGTAAAATATGTTTCTTTTTAACGAACCAAAACTTGTAGCCATTATCCATTGTTGTTGTCTGGTTGGTGGTTAGCATCATCATGTGCAATCTCATCATTTTCATCTCCATAATGAACCCATGGAAGCATTGACTCAATCAACACAGCCAATGGATTCCGATTTGCCACATCACGCGGAGGCGGTATTGCTGCTGCTCGGTGGCCGCCTTCAGCTACTTGGTCACCTCCCATTCTTGGATCAGCCACAAAGTTCTGCAAATTGTCTGGTGGGAGGGTCGGCATCGAATCAGAGAAATCATGAGTTGATAAATGAGAGTACCTGAAACAGAATAATATGTGATCAGCTCTAGCTCAAAAGGGAATTATTTATAAGAAGTGAGAGTCGGAAAAACGCTTACTCGTTATTCGCGGAGGGGAAAGCTTCTTTCCTTACACAACCCCAGTCCTTTGCATCGTTTTCGTTTAGTTCCAGTGACTCAATGACCAAATCAGCAGCACTACGAAGTAATTTCTGAACATCAGGAAGCCTCCATATAAGGTAATTCCTCTCGACGTATAAGTTGATCAGGTGATCGAGGGACGGGATCTTTGATTGATCTGATCGGAAGTAAGAATGCTTGAGTATCTTTGTCCAAGCCTGATCTTTTAAAGGTACCTTGTCCACTAATTTCTTGAGTACTGTCGGATGAAGCATCAAAGCTTGTTTCATGAGATCTAACGAGCTTGACTTTGAAGTATCTACATGATTGGCTTCTGAGGAAGAGGAAGATTCCGCCTTCTCAAGATAAACCCGGGCTATAGCGAGCGAAAAAGAGAAATTTGGGAAGAGCCACAACGAGTTATCGCTTCGGTACTCCTCCGAGAATTGTTCCAGCCACGCATATTCTTCTGCTCTCAAAGCAAAGTAATCCACACAAAACAAAGCACCCACTGGATCATCCGTGTCCAACGAAAGCAAGAGTTTGCAGACCTCCAAAGCCGATCTATGACAGCCACGCCTATCCATGTTTCTCATGTGAGTGAAAAGAGTCGTGAAGAACGGCTTGTTTGTCTCGTGGGTATATTTCAACCGGCAGTTACCCTGGAACGGAGTGAACATAGAATGCCATGCACGCTCCAGACCGTACAAACATTTTCCTATGGCATCTGAAGCCATTTCGTGCTCACCCACAAACTTAAAGTAGTCAGCCATAGTTATGAGCGACTCAAGATGGTAAGGATGGTTTATAAGTACACTTGCTACACCATTCAAATCATGAATAGCTTGTGCAGCTTGAAATTGCCTTTGAGCCTGCTCATACGAGGATGAATGGATATATCTATGCATACAAAGAATAGTATTTCATCAGACTTCTACATTTTTATATACATACACGATGAAAAAAAAAACTGTCAAAGATGTTACCTGAAATAGTTGTATCCATCTTTAGTCTCTAGAAACTCCATTGAGAAAGATCGGTCCCAGCGAGACCAATTCTCCATCGGAGTAACCATAACCGTCTTTGTGATATGATGAATTCCACGTCTTCCCCCTCGTCCCTGTCTAGAGCT